TCTCAAAGTTTCAGCTTCGTACAGTAGAACTAACTATCTTGACGTTCGTATTAAAGATTGTGACGTTTAGATTGGTTGACAGTTGTTTTGAGTTCCGTATATTCTTCAACTGTAGGAATGCTGTCCTGCAATCTGTGAAGTCTAAATCGTCTAATTAGTTCTGAGCTGTAAATTGTATTCCGTGTTTTCTGTCAGATCTCGAAGTTTCCATATTCCAGTCAACCACTAGAAGAAAGAGAAAGGACAGGTAGTCAGCCTTGTGTGACTTCGGTCCTTACTTGGAATGCGTCTGTCAACTGTCCTCCGTGCACCACTCTGCAGTATAGTCCATTGTATGAATTCCGTATGATGTTGACGATTTTCTCAAGTACTTTATGGTGTCGAAGAAATTCCACACTGTCAAATGCTTTCTCATAGTCAATCAACTTAACATATAGTGACAAGGTTCATTCAATTGATTGTTCAAAGATGACCCGTAGTGTCGCGATTCGGTTTGTGCACGACTGATCCTTACAAAATCCAGCTTGTTGATCTCGAAGTTGAGTCTTTCATTCAGTTCAGCAACACTGTTGAAAAACTTTCCTGGTGCTGACGGCGGTGTGATGCCTCTATAGTTCCTACATTTGCTCAGATCTCCTTTCTTTGGTATCTTGATCAGATATCCTTATTTCCACTCCATCAACACTTGTTCTTCCTACCAAATCTACCTGAATAGGAAATGGAGTATTTTTGCCATTACTTCTAAGTCTCACTTTAGTACATCGGCTGGTATATTGTCAAGTCCTGCTGCTTTCCCACTCTTCATTTGTCTGATGGCCATCCTGACTTCTTCCGTCGTTAGTGGAGTGACATCTATAGCAACGTCTGGGTGTGCTGTTTCGACACCTCATGGATTCAATGGAGCTGGTCAATTCAAGAGTTCCTCACACTGTTCCACCCATATTTTCCTCTGTCCTCGAATTTCAGTGATTGGCTTACCTTCTTTGTCCTTGATCGGTATCTCTGACCTACTGTATTTACCTGTCAATTACTTCATCTTGTCATATAGTTGCTTCATATTTCCTTCTCTTGCAGATTGTTCAGCTGTCGTTGCTAGCTCTTCCACATATTCCTGCTTGTCGGCTTTAATGCTCTTCTTCACTTGCTTGTTTGCTTCTGTGTATTCAGCTTGTGCCTCGACTTTCTCTCCTCTTGTTCGGCTGTTGTTAATTGCTGTCTTCTTGTTCTTCTTTTCTTCAATCTTGTCCAGGGTTCCGACAGATATCCACTGGTTATGATTATGCTTATTGCAACCCAGAACCTCCTGACATGTTGAAGTTAGTGCTTCTTTCATACCTTTCCAGTTGTCCTCCATAGTAGATTCCTCTTCGCTGAGTAGATCCTGTAAGGCTTGGAACCTGTTGTCAAGAGTTACCTTGTATTCATTGAGTTTACCAGTATGCCGAATGAAGGCTGTATTGAACCTTTGTAATCCTGTTTGTTCAGTTGCCCAATACTTCTTTAGTTCCAGTTTTATCTTGGCCACAACCAGTTGTTGGTGATCAGAAACTATGTCAGCACCTCTCCTGGTTCTCACGTTTACCACTTACCTTGTGATTTTTTTACCTATGCAAATTCGATCTATCTAGTTCTTCGTGGTGTGTCCGTTGAGACTCGTGTAGTTTTGTGTTTGTGTTTTTGTGGGACTATTGTGCCGCCTATAACCAATTTTTGAATGCACATAGATTTGCAAATCTCTACCCTTTCTCATTTCTTTCTCCGGTGAGTCTATAATTTATGGACTATATATGAGCAGTGCTAAAGTGAACTTGAGAGTGTCTATCTAATAACGAGGAGCAAATGAGGGTTATAAACCAATGTGGGCAATTGAGATTTTGATTTACAGTTGATGATTAAGGTTAGAAATTAGATTTAGGGTTTTGATAACGAAGTGACATCAGCTATAATGCCAAAACTATTTATCCGAATGTATGAATGAATTTCGAGCTGAAATCCGAGACCTGTTATATTATACGTGATTGTTTCGTCCATAAATTATAGTCTCGCCCTTTCTCCTAGTCCATGTCGTTCCATGATATCGCTATAAAAGTTGTTGTCCATTCCGATTTTGGCGTTTAAACCTCCCAACAGGTTTGTCAGCTTTTTTCCTGAGCACTTTGCTATGATCGATTGCAGCCTCTCATATAACTCATCTTTATCGTCATTCCTATAATTGGTGAGTGCACAACATTTGGTAACATCCATTCATCGGTCAAAGGCTAGTGTAGTGGCCTCCTAATAAAACCATGTGCTTCGGTTTGAGCGCTCGGACAGTATTCCAGTCCTCACACAAACCGAATGTCGAAATATGGCACATATCTATATATATCTGGTGCATCCCAGTACTAATGCCTATGTGTTTAAATAAATAAATAAACTATCTACAAGGAAAGTTTAAAAGATATGTTCAGTAAAAATGATGGTCAAACCTTTAAAGCTTATATAATTTCACTATTAGAATAGGATATACCCTATACTAATCTACAGTGTTACAGTGTTAAATCAACCCAACTTATTCTTTTCAAAGATGAAGATTTCACAACAAATAAAAACAAAAGATTTTCCTTCTTTTTAGACATTTTTCGACATATAACAAATTGTACTAGGAGTGTATGACATCGATTGTTATATGTACCACTCATTCTAACTGGATGATCGAAGAGACGAAAGGGGATCAAAGTTCAGTGTCTTTACCTGTTGGTTGAAAATTAAGTTATTCAACTAGAGAGCCATAATGGCAACTCACAATATGTATATTTATATACCGTTCAAGAGGGTAATTTATTGAAGTATAGTTTAAATATCATAGTTCTAACCTATGATGCAACTGCATAGATACCAAAAACCTTGACAAATTAGACCAAATTATAGATATTATAGATTTTCTTAAAGAAGAAAGATAAATACATAGCGTTGAGAAAGATAGGGTTTTCAGTACTCTACGCAAATACGACAAATAATTTACACTTCATATGAAAAAGTGATATTTGTGTATAATGCCGTTGTGTATCAAGATTTACATTGAATATTTAATTGTTTATACAACATAGAGAAATCCGAAATGAATTTTCGCAGTTCCTAATTGATTTGTTAGGTAGAAGTGACATTTCATTTGTTGTCTGATAAACTATTCATAGTTATAGTTTAATGTGTATTATGAACCTTTCTTAGTTAAACTACCAATCAAAATCAGGAAGTACTGGTTAGGTGTGTTATCGTAGAATTAGACTCCTCAACAGTTCACATCTACGACTCCATCAAGGATCTAAATCAAAACCTTCAGATCTCTCAATTAAACTGTAACCTTAGAATCACTAATTTACAAACATAAATTCAAGTCAATTCGCAATTTTACACAACTACCTTTCAATGTCATAAGTAGGCAACTGCCTCATAGTTTTTCAGTAAAATTCTTTGCTAGAGCGAAACATATATTCAGAGCATCTGAGTTTTTTTTAATAATTGTCTAATTAACATCAATCCATGATGTAAACAATAAAATTCAGTAATTTTCACAAGCTCCTTATAATAATCATGGTATAGTGACTGGATTATATTATTACATAAATCATAGTTCTGATTACATTATGTAAATATAGTGAATTAGTTGACCTGTAATTCTGTTATTTCATAAACGATCATTTGGAATAAAAAATATCACTTAGTTGATTTCAACTGATCAGTTCTTTGTATCTTTCTGCGTTGAAGATATAGAAATTACACTTCATTATTCTATAATTTGATTCTTATCCATGACGTTGGATATTATCGTTATTTTGTATATAACTGATGCAGATCAATACACATATTCATTGAATTGTACTTATTCACTAGTTCGTCGAATTAATATAAACTATATACATTTATAATATATTATCATTAAGAAGAGGACAATATTTAATGTGGTTTAACCTAATAATATTGTTAAATGTAAACATCCATAACATTAGTATCCGAAGGGGTTTTGTGGATATTATAGTACTTTTAATAGTTGAGATCATGAGTCAATTGAAGCTAGACCACCATAGAAAACCTAGGAGCAGTGGACGGTCGTTTCGTCCTATTGTGAGACTCGTCGGAAGTGCGCATCCACGACATCGCCTCGCGAGATTCGAACCCAGGATCTATCGGTGTCGCGCGCGAACGCCTAACCTCTAGACCACTGAGCCGATAGGCATCCAACGGCGTTATGTCAAACTTCAACTAATCCACAAAATCAAGCGACACATCCATCAATGAGTTAATATCTCACAACAGACCCGGTTGAACCTCATTGGTCACTGCTTCCATGATGGTCTAGCTCCAATTGATTCATGATATCAACTATTAAAATCTATAACATTGTTGATTATTTCCTACCAAGCACAGTTCATGTTCAATGTATTGAAATGTGACTACGTATTAGATGAAAAATAAATAAGACATTATTTATTAATAATGGTTGAATTAATTATGGATTTATTTATTAATGCATAGTGAAATCATAATCTTCAATTTTATATTCTACCTTTCAATTAATCAATATCAATCTTCAATCATTTCTGATAAGTAATAGGTAACCAATTTTACCGAATTTCTAACAAATGATCACATCAGTGTTCATTTGATGCATAACATATGTAGAAGGTAAATGTAACTTCATACGTTTTGGAGTAGTGTATGCTATTTATACTGACGGATATAAGTAGTATGTAGCTGCAATCGGAAATGGAATGCCTGGCAGAAGTAGACTGAATTGAACAGAATATATGGAAGAACAAAGAGTGATTGTAATAAAAACAGAATGGGACGAATATAAAAGCATATAAAAGACAATTGAAGTTTGTAAGAAATAATGCAAAGAAGATGTGCAAATGATTTACTTAATGTATGATTTTCACATTTTTATTGTATAATACAAAAATATTTTAGCTTCGATGAAAACAAGCTTCAAAACTTTTTTCTTTTTTTACATTTTTCAGACCAACCGCCAGTGAAACTGCCCAATCCAAATATATTTACATTAAAAGTAGCCGAAGAAATTGATCCAACTCATATAAGCCGAGTTACTCTTCATGTCGAGGTGAATAATTAAATATTTCATTTTATAATTTATGATAATCCATTGGAATACTCTAAAAAACATCATTACCCAAATTCAATTTGTATTGTTTATTTGAATTTTCCCATTGATATTTAGGACTGTAGTTGATCAGTCCTTTATTGGTATACGTGCATCCTGTACGGATTGACTCGATATTGCCTTAAGTCATAAGTATTCTAACCAAGGATGCATGATGGCTAGCAGTGGAATCCAGGACGCGCGTTTTGTCCTACTTGAGACTGGTCAGCTGGATGTACCTGCAACTTACAGTTGATGTTCACTCTGGGACTCGAACCCAACACCTTTCGCTTCGATCGTCATCACATTATCCACTTACCTACTGAGTCCTGATAGCTACTACTAAGGCAATATGCACAGTAAGCACATATGCCAATAAGGGACTGATCAATTGGAGTCCTAAACATCAATCGGAAAATTCAAACAAACAACACAAAATGAATGTAAACTTCACCCCACTGCACAAACAAGTGGCTATCAGTATTCAGTAGCTAAGTGGATAACGCGACGACATTTGAAGCTAACTATGCTGGATTCGAGTGCCGGAGTGGAAATCAACTCTGGGATGCAGATATATCCAGCTGATGAGTCTTAATAAGGACGAGACGCGCGTCTAACCACCATTTATTCTTTTGTTTATTATTACACAAAGCTTGAATTTAATGATTGAAATATCACAGTTGAAATAGAACTTTAAAAGTACTTTCTGGATACATTACAAATGATAAAAAATAGTACCTTATGATGTCATCATTCGTTGAAGTTATACACTATCAAATGCTTAACCAAATCATTTATAATCTGAATTAAGTTTATTCATTCTAAATATATGAAAGTTAAATTGGTAAAATAACATTGAAATACCTGGAAAATTAAGAATATCGATCAATAATGAGAAACAATTTAACCATGTTTTTCAATGACTATTCATCATCTAATTTGTTTAAGTGAAATATTTTCCCGATTGATAATTATTGTTTATTTCAGTAATGACAAAGTAGTATTTGATGTTACACTGAGTAGTATGTTTCATAAATCGAAGAATAATGATGATAGTGAATTTCCTTTGTTGTTTATGATGGTAAAAATCGAAAAAAAAGAAAACTCGGTTAATTAGATGTTACTCATCATTGAATATTGGGTGAAACAAAAATCCTTACACTAATCAATGATTATTAGCTTTAATGTTGAATTAGAAAGTAATTTTACGTGATGTAGTAAGCAGTGAAAGGAAAGTCAACAATGTTTCAATATAATGTGTAGTTTAAAAAAACACAGGTTATTGTTACGTAATTAGAAATGATGATGCAATCGATATTTAATTGATTTTCAATCACTAAACAATGACATTCAACAGTTCAATCCATACAAATAATAAATGATTGGCAAAATAGTTTGTTTTTCTTCATAATAATAGAATCAGAATTCTAAGTTAATATTCTACAACGGATTCAAGGAAGTAAGGAACTAGAATATTTTGAGGGTTAAGGTTTGTGGAGATTACTTAGTTTCAAATTTTACATCATAAATTGATGTATTTCGAAACAATCATTGAAAGATTGGAAGTATTGGAAAGAAGTTTGATCCTAATGCAGGATTCCACGACAGTGAATATTGTTTCACGAACTGATTGATGTTTGAAATGTAAAACACTGGAGTTTAATTCAACTGTTTAACTTTATTTTTGCTATACCAAGATTTAAGAGGTTGAACTCAGCACAGAGTAGTAGGTGAATGTTTCAAAACAACTGCGAATTAGGTTGAAAAAAGTGTAGAATTTCATCAGATACTCGATAGTTCAATATGTCAGTTTATCATGTAAACTTACTATAAATATTGGCCTACGCAAATATTTGAAAGCAATCCATAAAATGTTTTCTAATTGTTCATTCTTAGGGCTTTTAGCCTGTAGATCACTGAGTTAACATAAAATGGTTTGCATTTTTAACCTCGGTCAGTTGACGCTATTACTCAACCATTTGATACTTAATGCTGGGCGACTGGCTTGTTCGTTACATGACTGAATTGTGCTGGTCACGGAAATAACATGAATCGATTGAAGTTAAAAATTTAAACCATTGGATGTCAATGTAGTGTTATGAAGGTTGAGTTCTTTCTTCTTGACGTGATTGTCCTCGGGTTCAGTGACTTGACGGGTTTCGGATATGCATTATTAAAAAATCTCTATGGTTCTTTAAAGTGTCAGTTTTTGATGTAAACCACGTAACCTGAATGTATCACAGAATCTAGTTATTTACCACTAATATTTCAATATCACAATTTTTTTTCATCGTTCTCAAAAGATTTAACGGTTTTAGTCTTATACATTAAAAATAAATAGAAATCTATTTTCTTTGCCTCACTGATAAACAATCCTTAGCTTTTTCACATAATTAAAATTGTTCACTGATTAAGAGTTAGCAAAGAATACTTGGATTGAGTATTGACTTCAATGACAGATGAAATACTCATAGCTATATTACAATGTACATTATGAACTGACCTTAGTTAGTCAACCATTGGATCTTTTAATGCACTACAGAGTTATTCGATCCTAAAACGGAACTCAACAACAGTTTATATGCACAACTCCACCACAGATCGAGCTAAAAACCTCGGGTAAACACAGGTGCACTTGGTCTTTATGACTACTGAGTTGACATTCAATGCTTTATACGTTTAACTTCATATGACTGGATTTATAATAAAACGAAGTACATTTCAATAACATTGATAAGGAACTGCCTCACAATTAGCATGATTGAACTCTATTAATCAGGATATCTTTAGAAATCAGATTATCCAATAAGGTGTAAGAAAACAGTTTATGAAATATATAAACTGGATTATCAGTGTAAAATTGAGTGACTATAATATGGTGTTAAAGAAACCAATCTTCATTAATTAAGTTTAACAAGTCTCTAAACATCTCAAAACATTTTTCAGTAACAATGAATAATTTTGTATGTTAGAATTGAAAAGATTTTTATGGATTGCTTTCCCCCTCTAAATGTTTCAGAACTGGTCTGCGTCAATACCTTAACTAGGAATAGGGAGTGAAGTAGTCGAACACATCGACGCTTTCACTTATCTTGGAAGTTTGATGAAATCTGTGCACGGATTCGAAAAGCTGGTTTGGCTTTTGTCAACTTACGTCACATATAGTGAAGGCAAGATATCTGTCTACCAATTAAAGGACGAGTATACTGCACAGCAGTTCGTTCTGCTCTACTATACAAATGCGAAACGTGACCAGTAAGGGTAGATGATAATAATGAATTACTAGTATTCGATCACAGATGTCTTAGAAATATTGTCAGTATCTGCTAAGATCACCGGATAAGTAATAATAGAGTTAGACGCAGGGTATTGGATAATGGTGGTAAATCAGTTGGTGAGATTGTAAATCTTCATCAACTAAGATGGTTGGGCCACGTAATACGCATGCCCGACCACCGATTACCACGGCTTGTGATACTAACTAGTGTTGGAGACGGTAGGAAGAATGTTAGGGACGGCCAAAACAAAACGTAGCATCAATCCATAAAACCACTAATTTCTGGTCTGAGCCATGTTGATAGATGCAGACTACTTGGTTGGGGTCCGCGCGACTACCGTAACCAGTGGTTGGAGACTGGGTGACATGGCTCAAAATTGGTCACAATGGCCTAGGTGTGTACACCCTGTCTTCCCTTAAACCGTGAGATCAAAATTACTTTATACCTTTCCTTCTACGCACTAATTCTTTCTTCTTGTATTATATCCTCATACACAATTTTTCTTTTATACATTACTATCATTGAAGTAACTACTCCTATGAATTTGTTGTTCATCTTGTTGTACTAATGAGGTGTGGTAACTTGAACCGATGCATGTATGTGCCTAGTCCAACGTTGTAGCTGACTGACTTCAAATGTTTAAGAAAGTCAATATTTGCAGTTGATTTACGCGATAGACTGACACACTGAACTGTTGAGTATCTAATGAAATTCTACACGTATTTCAATCTAATTCGCAATTATTTTGAAGTATTCACCTACTTCTGTGTGAACCTCTTAAATATTGGTGTAGCCAAAATAGAGTGAATCAGTTGAATTGAACTCCAGTGTTTTACATTTCAAACATCAGTCAGTTCAAGAAACAGTGCGATTCGCACCTAATATTATCATCATTGGTTTATTGATTGACAACTAACGTAATCTTTACAGGTTTTAGATTTTCCTACGAATAATAAAATAATCACTTTGAAGCCAAATCTTTGGTGAATATATGAACATTATGTAAATTGATGTTTGATGTATTTGAAATTTACCTTATTTCTCAATGATTACTTAGATGATATTATTCTGTAATTAAAGGAATCTTCAAAATTGAACACATCTCAGTGATTCCTCATATCTGAAGGTTTTTCTCAATATGAGAACAGATCAAATAGCCTAAAGTTTAAAAAAAAATACAATGATTTTATTTCTAAACATTTCGTGAATATTAGTTTGCCTCTTAGATTGTATTCATCATAGATTGATCTCACTTGAAGTATCATTGAAAAATAGAATGCTCTGTACAACTATCTCGTTCTATAATGGGACTAGTCAACAGTAGCCATTCATAAGCATCTCTCAAAAATCCGTAAATATTACTTTCACATCTTGAGGTAAATTCTCAACCATTAAAGCCATCAGTTTGGCATTGAATATTATGATTTCAATGCACAATATAACATGATGATTCCTAGTGAGTTCTTTAGTAAGCACAATTAATAATCTCATACTAAATTTAAATAACTATTATGTATTCCGTGTTTTTCATTCAGTCCACAACTTAGATTAATTTACTACAAGTAAAAACCTACAAATACAATAACTTCCTACAATTTGCCTAAAAAATCGTTTTCATTATAATCAGTGGTAAAAGTACTTAAATTTTAATTATAAAATTACAAAATCCAATTTCATTCCACC